GGATGCTGCCACACAGCCAGGGACAACTAGAGCGCCTGTGCCTCTTTATGCACACAGGTCCTGGAGGGCAGGGCCCATGGCGGTCAATTTAAGGGTCACATCCAGGACCAACATGGTCCTTGCCTGGGGCGAGTGCTCGGGCATAGTATTCAGGGAAAAGATGAGAGGAGGTCTGAGCCCCTCCACACCCCTGAGCAGCTCACACTGTGGCAGGGATACTAGTGATGGAGGTCCCTGGGTGGAAGGCAGGGCACATAGACCATGACCCTGGGCACTCTTTCCTGGCTGCACTTTCTTCATTGGCACTCCTGCCCCCTGGTGGCCAGCGCTAGCACTGCAGCCCCAGGCAAGAAACCCAGAAAACAAAACACACACCTTTGTTTGGATGTTGTCAAGGCAGCAGCTCTCCCAGGCCCCAGGAGGCAAAGGAGCAGGACCCAAGGCTCCAAGAGGAACAGGAAGGACCTCAGCAGCCTCACTTGCTCCCCTGTGTCCCTCTGCTGGCCTGAGGTGTCACGCTCACTCAGGAGGCCTCCTCACCCAGCCAGGTCAGTGACCCTGCCCACTTCCAAAGGAGGACCCCAGGCTCCAACAGGGACAGTCTCTTCCCTGGACCTGAGATGCTGGTCCAGTGTGGGGCAACACTCTGCATGACCCCTACTGTCCTCAGTCCTCCAAGGCCCCCGCCTACTGGGTTCAGAAGGGCCTCTAGAGAGGACAAAGCATTTTCCAAGGGGCTTGGTGGACAGTGGGTCACTGATGGAGAACTAAGGCCACCAGAAACTTCTGGGAGTCTGTGGAACCCTGGAGTCACAAAGGCCAACCACCCCAATTTTCAAAGGGGAAACTAAGACCTCCCCTGTGGCCACCTCCACACCAGGGAAGGACTGCTTAGCCTAATTCTAGGTGTCCAGAGTAGTGGACACAGGACCCTGGCCCTGTCCTCTCCAGGCTGCTCTGGGAATGTCCCATGCCAGGCATACTGGGGAATCTTGAGTACCCAGCTGCCTATCAGCAGGGTATGTCCCCACCTCCCAAGCAATGGATCCCTGGCATGTTGCTCCTACCCCTAAGGGTAATCTCCAACCTCTTCCTTCTTTTCCCTTGTCACCTCCCCAGTGTCCCATCCTTCTGATACCTAGGAAGTCTGCGTGGTAGGCGTGCGTGTGGATGTCCAGAGTAAAGAGCCCGCCTGGAGGGGGTGGGCAGGGGATTCCCAGGATTTTAGGGGCTCTCATTCCCAAAGCAAACCCCAAAGGAGGACTGAGCCGCGGCCCAGGAAGCAGGAGCCCTTCCTTCGCGGCTGGACTCTGCCACCTGGCGTGCCCTGGCCGGTCCCTCGAGACCCTGCCTCTTTCCTGGCTCAGTTTCCCAATTGTACCAGGAGCGGTGGACGCGGAACTGCGTAAGCGCGCGCTCTGCGTGGATGCGGCGCCGGCTCCCTCCCCCGGTGGGCGTGGGCGGGGGTTGCGGGCCGCCTCCACCCGCGGGCGGGCGGCCGGCCGGCTGGCCGGCTGGCGCGGACTCACCTGGCAATCTACCATCATCCTCAGCCTCCGCAGCTCATCGCCGGCCCCAGGGCGGGCCCGGGGCTCGCAGAGACCGTTCGCCTCGGCCCGCGCGCGGCGCAGGGGGGCGTCCGGCTGCGGGGCTCATGGCGCGGCCTCGCGTCCCCGCCGGGCCCGGGGCTCCGCGGCCGTCGCCGTCGCCGCCAGCGCCGCTCCCATTGTCTGCGCCTGCCGCGCTGCCGGCCGCTCGGGCCCCGCGCTCGGTTCCGCCCGGGCTCCCGGGGCTCGGGCCGGGTGGGCGGGGACAGCGGGGACAGCACGGCCCCGCCCCGGCCCCGCCCCGGCCGTCGCAGGTGCGAGGCGCGGGCCCGCTCTCGAGCTCGGGGGCGCGCTCGGCCTCCCTGCGTCGGGCGCACGCGGCTGGACCCCGCGCTGCGCGTCCAGTCTTGCGTCCACAGCCCGGCGCGCACACGGGGCCTGCGCGGGACCGCGGGCGGCGCGCGCACGTGACCCCGCCTCGCGCCGCGCACGCGTCACGCACCGAGTGCTCGGCTTGGCCGGTCTCACATGTCCTTCCGCCCTAGCCGCCTGCGCTGTTCCCCAACCCTCTGCGACCTAGGACCACAGACACCGTCGCCAGGTGGGGACTGCTGAGCTGGGTGCCCCTGCAGAGCCTGCAGTCGCCAATTATACACCCTCACCCTGTCAGGCGCGTACCCAGTGCCACCTGCTGTGTGGATGGCCGGGGTCAGGGGAACTTGAGAAGACCAGACTCAGGTCAGGTCAGGTAGCCCCCTCCTCGCCTATTCGCCCATCCTTTCCCTTCTGTGACACGACTAGATCCAGCCTGTCCCATAGGTGTAAGGGGGACAATTGGGAACCTGGGAGGAGGGGGTCTGCAACTGGTGCTGGGCTGGTGTGGGTCTCACTGTTACTAGGGAAACCTGGGGCCATAAGCACTCAAGGCCACTTAGCTCTGAGTAACCACACCAGCTGTGGGTAGGGGATTAGGAAGCAGTTCTCTTCTTCATCACTCATCCAGGACAGAGGCTCTGTCTGGTCTGGTGACAGGGATGTCACGCAGGGGACCTCCTGGGTCCAGCCTCTTGGGCACCTTTGTCTCCCTGCTTTACTCCCAACACACCCTTATGGGGGGCAGTCACTGGCTCATTTTGATCAAGGGAACTGAGGCTCTGAGAAGTCACTCTGGAGCCTATCACAGGGCTGTGCAGGTCCAGTGTGGATTTGAACTCAGGGCAGCAGATCGCAAGGGTGAACTCCACATAGGAGCTGAGAAGGTGGCCTGTAGCTCAGTGTGAGTCCACCGTGGATGGGGAATTGAGGGGCAGGGCCTGGGGAGCCCCCCTGGGTGAGGAAAGCTCCAGGAAGGAGCTTGGGATGTGGGTGCCCCTGGGGACAACGTCTGGACCAGATGCACAGGATTCAATTTCAGACAGGGCTCACTGCAGATTAGGGGCCAGGGGACCCCATCCAGGCAGTTTCCTAGGAACTGTGGCCTTGTAGAGCTTCAGGGGCTGAGTGGACATGTCACTCACCCAAGATGGACTCAGAGCACCTATCTCGGTGCCCTCTTGCTAACCAGGGTGTCCCAGAGCTGGCAACACATGAAGGCAGCTGCCCAAGAAGGGTGGGTGCTCAGAGGCCTCCCAGCCATAATCTGATTTACTCCTGCCCCTTGGCTCAGAGAGGTGGAGTGACCTGCCCAGTATCCCACAGGCTCTAGGACAGAGCTCTAAACTAGAGTTCAGCCCCCACCCCGCCCCCCGTCATGCATGCAGCAGAAGGTTATGGAGCGCTTCCTGGGTGCTGGTTCCTGGGGAAACCCAGCTGGCCATGGCCCATCAGTGCCATCTCAGAGCTTACTGCCTGGGAACAGGGTGGGAGGGGCACAATATCACTGAAAATGACAGGATGAGGAGGGTGAATGGGAAGCAGAAGGTGCCCACTCTGGAGGGGAGCACAGATCCAAGCCGGCTTCCCTGAGGAGGTGGTATCAGGAGCAGGTCCCAGGGAACTGGTCCAGTGGTGGGTTGTGCTGGCCTGATCTGTGGGCAGTGTGACCACAGGTGTGTGGGACAGGCCCTGTGGGGCAAACGATGATGTTGGACTGTATCGTGGGATACAGCCATGATCTTATGTCATCCTGCAGGCCATGAAGGGGCTGAAGTCTCAGCTCATGGGGCCTCTGGCCGTGGTCCTCAGACACTTGCAATGTCTGTTTCTTGAAGTGCTTCCTCTGCAATTTAAAAAGCTTCAGAGCCCACAGAACTCCATGCTGCCTGCAAATCTGGCACCTGTAGTTAAAGGGAGCTTAGATCTGATCCTGCCAGGTGGGACGCTGTCCCTGGCCTCCTTATGCTGGCCCAGTCTCCACTCCTTTTTGGAGAGCAGCCAGGTCTGTAGCTTGGTTCCAGGAGTTGGGTTCTGTCTCTCGGGTTGTGTCTGAGGGCCATGCTCAGGACCACGGTTGGCCAATGTGCCCAGGGGCTTGGGCCCAGGTTGAGAAGGCCCATAGCTAGGTCTGGCTGGGCACCACGGCTTGGCATGGACCCAGAGCAAGGCTGGCATAAGCTGGGAGCAGCGTCTCCCCTGCAAGGCTGACCTGCCCAGGTCCCAGGGTCCCCTCCTCATGAGGCCTTCCCCGTCTTCACATCTAGGAGCCGCCTCCTGCTGCAGACAAGCGGCTTTTCACAGAGCTCTCCCAGCCCAGGCAGCCTAGGCACGCTCCCTCTCAGGGATGGAGAGGCCATGGTCCATTCTCTACCAGAAGACCCAGGGCCTCTCCCAACTCGGGTCCTCTCCAGCCCATGCTGTGTTTTCACACTTGTGACTCCACCTGCCCACAGTCTGGGATCTGTCCCTGCTTGCTGGCTAAACTACAGGTAATGTAGGAAGAGTGGGCTCAGGGGGCAGGTTACAGAGCATCTGACTGTTTTCGGATGACCACAGTGTACCCCAAACCTACTCCATGTCTCCTCCATCCACAGAGAAGATGCTGCTGCCCCAGGGAAGTGGCCCTCAACCCACACCCAGCCCATCTCTGCCTGGCTGGGCAGACAGATGGCTGTGGGCCTCAGGCCCCGCTGGGTCCATGCTGGATCAGTGCCCCAACAGGTTCTCTGCTCCTGGCCTGCACCACTGCCCTGGAACCCTATGCCCACCAGTGGCTTCCAGGGCTGAGGTGACCCTGGATACAGGAGGGTGACAGACATACCCCTGTACTCAGGGACAAGAGCCCATGGGGTTCTCCTGCATGCAGGGTTGCGGCAAACCTCCGAGGGCTCCCACTTCTCCCTGGCTCCCCAGAGAAGGAGAATGAGCTCCTGCCTGTGGCAGCAGCCAGCCTTAGCCTGGATCTTCTGGAATAACTGTCCGCCTGGTGTATCCCCAGAGTTTGCGGAACTGTGTCAGGTAACTCTGGTTAGGACCAAGCAATGTGTCCCCTTTATTGAAAACTATTACAGAGGCAGCGGCTAGTCCGTGAGAGTGGCTCCCCAATGTCTGCAGGAACCCAGAGGGAGCCTAGACCAGGTCCATTTCTGAGGCTGACTTTGGGTCCCAGATGAGGAACTGGCTGTATATGGCTGAGGGGACATCATGATACCCAGGCAGCCAGAGAGAGGGGTCCATGGTGCCTTTCACACAGTGGTGTTAAATTGCGACTTCAAGGGGGACCTGGCAGGATTTCAGGCCCTCGGGGGCGGAGACGCCAGGGCCTGCCTGCCTGAAGGTGCACCTGCTAGACGAGGCAAGCTGCGGGGCCCCATCTCTCTAACCTCTCGTCTTCCCCTCCGATGATCCCTGTGCCCGATCACTGCACCTTCAGGGGTGCACTGCCCTAGGACGTGGACAGCGCCTCCCTCACCCCTTCTCAGCTGGAATCTCCTGGTAGCTGGAGGTAGGCAGGACAGCCTGCTTCCCATCTAAGGCTTGGACAGGGGCAGGTGGCTGCAGGGCTTTGGGTCCCCATTCATGGTGGCCCCAGCTCTGCTGTCAGCTCCTCAACCAGCTGGTGTCCTTGTTCACTGTACAAAAGTGGATCAGCTTTAGGCTGGGCGGCTGGGGCTTCCTGTCATCCCAGATGTACTCCAGGGACAGCACCTTGGATGGCTTGTGTGAGATAAAGTGGCGGTTCAGGTGGCTCTCCTCTTGCCAGGTGGCCACGATGCCATTGGCTTTGTCTGTCAGGATGGCCATATGGCAGACCCTGGTAAATTCATATACACTGGCCACTCGCCCCCCAAAGACTGCCCCACCATAATAGAAGTCCCCCTCGCTGTTGGCCACAAAGGCAGTGGAGGCTCTCCTCCGCTCATAGGGGAACTGCTGGCGGGAGGCAGTGAAGTAGCCTGGGTGAATGGCAGCCACAAGGTCCCCCAAGGTCTCAGGACCCCACAGGTTCCTGAACACCATGTCTACATCAAGGCAGAAGAGGTAGTCTACCTCCCGGTGTGCCCTCTTGGCTATGTGCAGGCTGATGGTCTCCATTCGGTGTGTGGAAATCTCCCAGTGAGAGTGGCGCCTGATGGGGATGATGCTGAGCAGCCGGCCAGCACCCAGCGGGACCCTGGGAATGGCTGCAGGGTCGTGGGTGAAGATGTAGTAGTGCACGCGGTAGCCATGCATGAAGAACTCCTCGGCCGAGTCCAGGAAGTGCTGGACAAAGCGGGTGTACCTGGTGGCGACAATCCTGCCATCCACTGCTGCCCTTCAGGGCCACTGCCTGGTCCCCACCATGTGCTGGCATCATGCGGGCCACAGGGTTTGGGCTGTCAGGCTGGGGTCCATTTGCTGGCTGCCTCCCTCCCGCTGTCACTCAGGTGACCCTGGGCGCTCGTCTGTCAAGTGCCCACAATCCTACTTCAGCTGAGCATTCCCGACCTGAAAACCCAACTGCAGAGCCTTATTTTTTAATTTTTTTTTTTGGTACTGGAGATTAAACCCAGGGTGCTTTACTACTGAGCCGCATCCCCAGCCCTTTTTATTTTTTACTTTGATACAGGGTCTTGCTAAATTGCTGTGAGCCTTGCTGTTTGAACTCTTTTTTTTTTTTTTTTTTAAAGAGAGAGTGTGAGACCGAGAGGGAGATTTTTTTTTTTAAGAGAGAGAGAGAGAATTTTTTAATATTTATTTTTTAGTTCTTGGCGGACACAACATCTTTGTATGTGGTGCTGAGGATTGAACTCGGGCCGCATGCATGCCAGGCGAGCACACTACCGCTTGAGCCACATCCCCAGCCCGCTGTTTGAATTCTTGATCCTCCTGCCTCAGCCTCCTGAGCCACTGGGATCACAGGCAGGTGCCACCGTGACTGGTTAAACACACTGACTTTCTTTGTGCACTTACTATAAGTGCCAATGTTCTCGGAGAGTCTCGTGATGTTCTCATAGATGCCTACAGGAATGCCCATCTTATAGGCAGCACCACTGAGGCTAAGCTGGAAGAAAGGAGCCGAGAAGCAAGTAGGTGGCAGAGGGAAGGGAACGTGGGTGGTGGATGCTGGGTATAAGGAGCGGGCGTGGGTGGCCTGACCCTGCAGGGGCCATTCATCACCTGGTCTGTGCCTTAGACCTCGGGCCCCATCGGGGTCCCAGGTGGTAGCTCCTAAAGGAAGGGCCAGGTAGAGTCAAGAAGAGGAGAGCGGGCAGGGCCGAGGCCAGGACAGGGAGGCCGAGGCCAGGACAGGGAGGCCGGCGCCTCCTGCTGCTCCACCTGGGCTGGTCCAGCTCACCTTCCATGCCAGGCCCCGCCTTGCCCCAGCAAGCCCACCCCGTCACCCTTCGCCCTGCACCTTCCTCGGCCTGGCACCTGTGCCCTACAGGGCCTGCCTTCCCCTGCACTGGGAGCTCCCGTGGCTCAGGGAGACCCACCCACCCACTCACCCCCCCACTCACTTCCCCACGGCAGACACGGTGACTCCGATGGTCAGGTTCAGCGGCTGGTAGATGAGCTGCAGCAACTCTGGGTTGAAGGTTCCCTCGGAGACAATGGGCGCCAACCAGGGTGTGAGTGTCAGCAGCTCCATGGGCCTGGTGGCAGGGGAGGGGCCAGTGCTGAGGGCCTCCCTGGGTGGAAGCCTTGGCCACGTCCTGACCCGCCTCTTATGCTGTGTTACCGAGGGCCACCCGTGCCTGCCTCTGGGTCTCAGGTTCCCCATGTGGAAAGTGGGGTGGCACCAGCTACCTCACAGCAGGACAGGGAGGACCGGAGCTGGCACCAGCGTGGAGCACGTCTAGAGGAGCCAGGTGTGACCCCGTGGGCTGGTATCATCTGCCCCTCCAGCCTCCTGTGGGGCAGGTGCTACTGTGATCCCCTGCACAGGGGAAGCTCCGCGCCATTGGCTAACCTGCCCGAGGTCATGCAGCCAGTGACAGGACTGGGTCCCAGGCCACCCAGACATGAGCACCTCCACCAACTTAGGAATCAGTGCTGTCCCCCGCCCCCGCCCCCGCCCATGCCAGGTCTCTCTGTGCCCCCTACCTCTGCTCCAGCAGCTGGGGCTGAGGGTACAGAGGCCTGCAACCAAGAAGGGCCAGTGTGAGGGGAGGCAGCCCCCCTGGGGCGGGAAGGGGAAATGACAATCTCTTACTGTGCCACAGGCCGGAGGGGCTCCTCCCCATTGTGCTGCAGCTTCAGGTTGCTGTGCAGAGGTGAGAGAGAGAGAGAGAGAGAACAGGCCGTTAGTTCCTGGCAGGAGGGGGCCCGCCTGGGCTGGGCCGACTCCTGCTGACCTCCCCACAGCTTCATTTTGGGCTCCTAGGGTGCGGCCTGCCCAGGGCCAGAGGGAGCAAGCACTAAATTGCCTAGTCTGGCCTCACGCTTCCTGTCCTCCTTCCCTAGCCTCCATAGTAGCTGGGATTATGGATATGCACCACTGCCTTCTGCCCTCAGGTGGTTTTATATAAAGGAATTCGCCCTGGGTAACCCGGTGGGCCTAGTCACGTTAGTCGAAGGACCTCAAGGACATAACTGAGGAAAAAGACGTGTGGCCTTGGACCGCAGGGTTGGCCCCTGCCAGTGAGTCCAGCCTGCCCGGAGGGCCCTCGCCAGCACAGGTGCCCATTCTGCGTCTCCATGGCTGGCTGGCTCATTTCTCCCTGGCTGAGACTTGCACCTTTCCTCATCTGTGGAACAGGAGCCATCCTGACCCAAGTGGCTGTGTGAACAGGAGCCATCCATCAAACAGGAGGAAGGACGTGCCCAGCATTGGCCAGCACTCAAAGAGGGCAGTTGTCCTGGCCACTTCAGTGTCCACTACCTTCAACAAAGGTCATACTGAGTGCAGAAATAACAGGAGGTGGCAGGGCTGCAGGCCAGGCCCTGGGCTTGGTGCCAGCAGACTGAAGGGCCTGGGCCAGACCCTGACTCCACGGGCTCTTGTCCCTCCTCTGCCTGCCACAGGGAGTGGGCTAAGGCTCAGAGAGGTTAGAGGCCTGCCCCAGGCTGCCCAGCAAGCAGTGGTGGTAGAATCGGCTCAAAGAAGCCGGGTAGACGGCCAGGAGGCGGTCCCAAGGGTCAGGGACCAGAGACGGCTCACATAAGAGGATGGCTGCAGCCTCCTTGAGTTCTCCCACCCCTAGTCTGGGGCTTCCTTTCATGTGGCAAAACACACAAACGTGAGATTTGCCATTTTAACCATTCTTAAGCATACAGTTCGGGGCTGGGGGTGTGGCTCGAGCGGTAGCGCGCTCGCCTGGCATGCGTGTGGCCCGGGTTCGATCCTCAGCACCACATACAAACAAAGATGTTGTGTCTGCTAAACTAAAAAAATAAATATTAAAAAATTATCTGTCTCTCTCTTTAAAGAAAAAAAAGCATACAGTTCAGTGGCACTAAGCACGCCCATGTCGTGGTGCCACCCAAAGGCACATGTGTTGAGGGCTTGGTCCCCAGTGCAGCCGTGTTGAGAGGGGGGCTCTCAGGAGGGATCGGGACCCTGCAGGCTTGACCTCTCCGTGGATGAGTCCCTCGGTAGGTTCGTGGCTCATGGCGTTACTGGCAGGTGGTAGAAACCGGCAGGTGGGCCCAGTGGAGGGAAAGTCCCTGGTGTGCCCTGGAGGGGCATTTCTTGTCCCCACCGTCTCTGTTCTCTCTGCTCACTGGCTCCCGTGAAGCGAGCACCTCTGGTCTGCCACGTCCTTCTGCCATGAGGTCCTGCCACACCACAGGCCCAGAGACAGCACGGCCATCGACCATGGACCAAAACCTCTGAACCCCGGAGCAGAATAAAGGCTCCTCCTTTGAGGACTTTCCTCGGGCACTTTTGTCCCAGCAACAAAAAGGATAGGACTGCTCTGTGTGTCTAGAATGTTCCCTTCACCCCAGACAGAAACGTGGCACCTGTTAACAGTAGCTCCCTATGGCCCTGTCCCCAGGAAAAGGACCACCGTGTCGCTGGTGACCGTTGTCTAACTCTGCTTCCTGAATCTGACTACCACAGGGACCTCTTTTAGGTGGACCCACAGTCCTCGTCCTTTTGCGATTGGTCTCTACTTGTTATTTTCTTGGTCGTGGGGATGAACCCAGGAGCACCCTACCATTGAGCTACAGCCCCAGCACTTTAAAAATTTCATTTTGAGACAGGGTCTTGCCAGGTTGCTGGCGACTAAAACACTCAAGGTCACTCCAAGGGATCTGGGCTGTGGGAAATGACCACACAAGAGACAGAAATACGTTTTTCTTTGGGCGGGGGGGGGTCCTGTGACGGCTCCTCTGACCTTAAGGGTCCGCAGAGAGAGAAAAAGAGAGAGAGAGAGCGCGTGCGTGCAAGAGCATGAGAGCGAACAGGCTGACCCCTTTTACTGAGGAGAAGCTATTCAAATAAGGCAAGGGGTCAGGTTTCAGGGGGCTGAGTCTATCCTCATGATGTCCACTAGCAGGTTGATTGACATGTAGAAGGACTACACCAGGACAGAGTAAAAAAAGGGGACACACAAAAGGCTTCTCCATGGAACATTCTGTCCCAAACAGGGCAAGGGGTAATATTACAAAGGAACAGGGGAGCACAGCTCCACCCATGGGGATGTAGACAGGCAGGCCCATGCACGAAGACACTGTCACACGGAAGATCGGGGCTATCGTCTGGGTTCCCTAGGCAACCAGATCACAGAGTGACACAATGCCACACCACTCAGAAGGGGAGACAGACACAGTCACGTGCTAGTCAGCCTGCCACACGGTCTCACTTAGTTGCCCAGGCTGGCCTCAATTTTGGGATCCTCCTGCCTCAGCCTCCTGAAAAGCTGGCAATCCAGGCGTGTGCCATTGTGTCCAGCTGAGTCTCTCTTCTTGAACTGATGAATTTCCAAATTCAGCTCATCTATTTGGACCTCTGCCCTCGTTTTTTACAACAGCACTTCAGGTCTCTTCTCTCCACAAGTACAAATAGGCACCAGCCACACTGCAGCCTCAGAACATAAAAGCTGGGTCTGGGGGTGCAGCTCAGTGGCAGGGCATCTGCTTGGCATGAGTGAAGCCCTGGGTTCCACCACCCAGCACCAAAACAAAACAACAAAAACAAAACCCAAAACCAAAACAAAAAAACCCCAAACACTTCATATTTCTAAACCTCTGAAGGTAGTAAATGGAAAGTGAAGGAATCCAAAGGAAGAAAGAACTAAAACAGACACAGGTTTTCAACTTCAGTCTATCACAGAACCATCCAACAGAACCAAGAGGCACCCTGGAAGAAAGCCAAGGCTGAGGTGGTGCACGACAGACGCGACCAGGACAGACACGGGACCAGGACAGAAGAGGAAATGCAAGTGACACCGTGGGGGGAAGGGGCCTTGTGGGTGGTCAGGGGAGTGGAGCTTAAACCAGAGAGGGCACGGCCACCTCCAGAATCAGCATGGTGGCTCTCTTTTTCTCCCCAGCACTAGTGGGGGTGTGGTAGAGGGTGGGTTCCCTGGGTACTGCCCAGGCTGAGCTGCTGCTCAGGAATGTGTGTGATGTGCTGTGGTCCTTCCGGAAACCAGCTGCGAAGAGGGATCGAGAGCCCATCCGTACCCGCTGGCCTGGGGGGGGGACGTCCAGGAGCCACCTTCATGGAGGCGTGGGGGTCGTGCCCACAGCTGCTCACCACGGACCCACAGGTCACGGGGAAACAAGTGCCCAACAGCTGGTGGGAAAGGAAGAGTGGCTCCCAGCCCCTGGGTGGCATAAAATGACAGTGACCAAGAGCAGCAGGGACACACACTGGAAGTCAGTGCTGGGAAGAGGTGGAAACACCATCCCAGCAAGCCTTTGCTTGAGCACCGTGGGATGGAGCCGTTCAGGTGGACAGTGGGAGGGGCTTCGTAGGCAGGGTGGGGCAGGACGGGTGGGTGGGTGGCTCCCCTTTTCTTCTGTCTTTTCTGTTTCCCAGCTTCCCAGCTGCTAGGGCTGGACACGGTGTGAGTGTTGAAGTGTGATCCCTGTTGAGAGGCAGGAAGAGGCTGGACACTGAGTCCATCGTGGCGTTCAGCAGTGGCCTCAGGGAGGCCATCAGGGTTGTGTAAGGTGATCAGGGTGGGGCCCCGCGAGGGCATCTGCTGGCTTTACAAGGGGGAGAGAGACCAGGAGGTGCACACGCACGGGCACTCCCTGTCTCTCACCACGGTCCTCCTGTGCTGTCTGGGAACTCTGTCCACAGGAAGACTGTGACCTGATGCAGCCCTTTGCCCTTGGACTAGAACCCTGAGCCAACATAAGCCTCTTCTTTTTAACTGGCCAGCCTGTGGAGGTGTGTAATTAGCAACAGAAGTGACCATGGACCACGGCCCTAATTTACTACAGTCTGTGTTTATAACAGTGCAACCTGCCTTGCTGCTCACTGGCTGACCATCCAGATGTGTGACTTCCTGTGGCTGTAGAGTCAAAAGCCCCCAGGGCCCAGATGCCCCTTTGAGTTGTCCCAACCCATTTGTTCACTCTTAGCTGTCAAAAAGGCAGAGTCGCCAAATGAGGAAGGTGTCAAATGTCAGTTTGTTCCTGAAGTCCACATGGAACACATTGAGTGAAAGGCTGTGTCCTGAGAGCACTGTCTACTGGCCACCTGCTCTGCACCAGGGCAACGCCAGGCTACACATCCAGGTTCTGTGTGGCCCAGGAGGGGACCCTCACCCATCCCATTTTAGAGCTGTGCAGCCTATATAAGGCCAAAGCACACAGAGCACAAAGATGCGCCAACTCAAGTGGCCATCTCGCGCCACATCTGTGGCAGCCCGAACATCCCTAGACACCATAGCAGTTCAGCAGAACACAAGCTTAGGACCCAGGAAACTGCAGACAACATGCCCCTAAAATCACTTGTGTCTCTCGAAATGTGAGCAGCCCCCAGGGGCCCCAATTCTCACAGCCCCATACTTACAAGATCTCTGGGCAGGGGAGGTAGTAGGGCACATAGGAGACGGGCGGCCAGTTCCTGACATAGGCCCTGGGAAGGAAAGACACCTGTTGACTCAGGCTGACACCCACGTGGTGCACGTTACTGGAAGTGAAGAACACCAATGGTGCATTTGGGGGATCCCCTGTCATTCCAGAGCCTGGTGGTCTTTAGGACAAGGCCTCCTAGAATTCCCCGTGGACACCAAAGGGCCCTGATGTAGCTATTTGCTCACCCATAGCAATTTATTCCTGGGGCATGCATGGGCTTGACCAGTTGCCCACAAAGCAGTGGGGTGAGGCGCAGCCCCAGGAGCTTCTCAGAAGGGTACTGGGGTTCGTGAACTTGGGAGCATGAACAGGAGCTGCTCACCAACACGGGTAGAAGGATGGTGTAGGCAGAGCAGACTTCAGGACAAAGGTGGGAGGACCGTACAAGGCAAAATTCAGAAGCTGAAACTAATTAGGTCTGGCTAGGGCTGGGGCTGGGCCTAGGGGAGAGGTGCCAGAAGAGGTTGGTGGAACCTGGAAGACCTTAAGGTGGTCAAAGTTTGGGGTTGAGGTGCAGAGGCAGGGAGGGTGGGGTCCATGGGGCAACTTACCACAGGGCCCAGAGGCTTGTGCCGGCCAGCAGGCAGAGCCCCAGGCCCAGGGTTGGTCTCCAGCGGAGCATGGCTGAGTGCTGCACCAGAGCCTGGCCACCTTCAGAGACCGCTGGCTCCTTGGCCAAACAGTCCCTTTCCTCCCAAGGCAGTCAGGCTCTGAGCCTGCCTCTTGGCAGTCCTGAGATGCTGAGGTCCCCAAAACACCTGCAAAGGAATGCTGTTTATCCCAGGGCAGGGCACCCACTTCTGCACCTCTCTGTGACGTCCTTCCCAGCAATGCAGATCCTAGGCCTCTCCTCCTTCAGGTCACTCCCGGCTGAGCACTCAGTGCTTAGCTGGAGCTGTGGCTGGGGCAGCTCTGGTGTCTCGCTCCCTCCCTGCGGCCTAGAAGAACAGAGGCCCGTCCTCCCAGGGGCTGGGACGCTGAGGCGGGGCTTAGCGGATTCTCCGTGGAAACCGCAACTGGAACCAAGCCCGGCGCCAGAATAGCAGGGACACACCCCAGGGTGCGCGGCAGGCAGCTGGGAAGTTCCTAGGGAAGGAATTTCCTTCGGGAGGAGCGGGGCGACTAGGTTTTCCAGGGGACCACTGGGAGGCGCTTCCGCCCTCAATGGCTTGGTACCTCGGACAGCCTCAGGGTTCTCTGCTAAAGGGGTTGGGAACAGCACGCACCACCGGTGGGCATGTGTGGGAATGGCTGTAAAGCGCTCCGCTGCGGTGGATCAAGGTCAGACATCCCGGAGTCAGGGTTCTGGGGTTTTGGCCTCTGCTCACTCGAGGGTCTCTGGCAATCCTGCACCCCCTCTTTCGCTCTGGGGCCTCCGTTTCCCCACCTGGGCTTCAGCAAGCAGCATCCTCCGAGCCCTCGCTTCCACTGCTGGGCCCAGGACTCAGGGCCTCTCCTGTCGCCTGGAGTGCAGACCCCGGAGGCTGGGGCCGGGGCGCGCACCTGCAGGTCTGCCGGCCAGAAGGGCTCAAGGTTCGGACTTCCCTCCGCTCACGCGCGGCGCGGTAGGGTAGGGCAGGTGGGAGCGCAACTGTCCCCGAGGGGTGCAGACTCACTCCTTGAGGCCGCACCAGTTGTAGGATGGACGCAGGGACGTACCTCCGTCCGGAACCAAGGAGTCGGCTCCGTGCACCTAGCAGCGCGCAAGCCGGGTGCGCGGTCTCTGGCCTGGGGTGGTCTCTGGGCTGGGGCGGATAAGTCCCTGGGGGTGGAAGCCGCGCGCCCCGCCGTCCAAACGGCAGCAGGCGGGTCGCCCTGACTCCACCCCCGCGCCCCGCCCCGCCCCCCCATCGCAGGCGGGTCGGCTCCGGTGTCCAGCTGGCAAGGTCTGAGCCCCGCAATCTGGGCTGTGGCGTCATCTCGGAGTATGGGACTCCGCCTGGGAGGCAGCAGGGTGCGGGCCGCCCAGCTTGCAGTGAGAAGCCGGGACGGGACCAGAGCATGAGGTAGGAAGGAAAGCATAAGGGTGGGTGGCTAACGGGAAGGGAGCAAGAAACGGGAACTCTAAAGACGCTCCCAGAGCGCCTTCTTCAGTACCCCAGAAGTTCTCAGCCCCGGCTCCTGTGCCAGTCCAGGTGATTGCATCACGCACTGTGCTTACACGAAATGTTTCTTATAGAGTAGATAAACCAAGGTGGGGGATGTTGTTAGAGACTTATGGGCATATGCCGAAAGTTAGCTGGATGGCAGCCCAGGGATCCCCAAAAGAAGAAGACCAGTGACCCGCCTTGTGCTCCGGCCAAAGTCAACCCACCCACTTCTTGGGTTCACTGTTCACGAAGTTTCCTCTAAAAAGAGCCCATGCCAGTGCATTGGTGCAGGCCTGCAGTCCCTGCCACTCCAGAGTCTGAGGCAGGATTGAAGCTTGAGACCAGCTTCAGCAACTTAGTGAAACCCTGTCTCAAAAAAAGGTGCGTGAGTTGGGCTAGGGATGTGGCTCAAAAGGTAACCCGCTTGCTTGGCATGCGTGGGGCACTGGGTTCGATCCTCAGCACCACATAAAGATGTTGTGTCCACCGAAAACTAAAAAATAGATATTTAAAAAAATTCTCTCTCTGTCTCTCTCTCTTTAAAAAAAAAAAAAAAGGTGTGTGTGTGTGTTGGGGTGGGGCAGGGATGTGGCTCAGTGATGAAGGGCCCTGGGTTCAATCCTAGTCTACCGCCCCACGCCTTGCCATGCTCCTGACCCCAAAAGGGCATCTTGCTCTGAAGCACCCCACTTCCTGTCTTTGAGCACCTCACTTTCTCTGTTGCTTGCTTTCCTGAATGAGTCTGTGTGCCTCTTTTGAAGCGTCCTGAGATTCCTTTCTGTGGTGTAAGTCAAGAACCCACCAGGGCTGAGTTGAGTTTTCCTTCTCTCTTCTGGGGGACCTCCTTGGACCCCTGTCCAGTGACAGGCAGACACTTCACTGTGTGTAGCAGAGTGTCCAAGTGGTCATGGAGAGGGGGAGCCCACTGGATGCAGTTCACTGTGGGTTAGGGTTGACTTCCCTTGCTCAGGGCCTCCAAGCCTGGCTTCTCTCTTAGCTGGGGACTAGCAGCAGCCCCAGCATCTCCTGGAGCCTCATTTCTTCCTCTGCCGAACGGGACTGGCCATGCTTCCCTCCCATGGCCTGGCTGGTAGCATGCGCCCGCCCAGGAAGGGCTGCTGTGGCTTCCCCAGGTGCTCTGGGAAGGGCCCTGGGACATTGTGCCAGGGGTACAATAAGCAGGAGGTGAAGGTGTGGGCTTGGGAGGCAAAGGCCTCTGCTGGGTGCCTGAGGGCCGAGGGGGTAGGAGGGGCAAAAAGAAGGGTCCCTGAGGGTACACAGGGAGAGGGTAGTAACAAGGAGGTGGGGAGGGGCAGAAGTCAGTCAGGAAAAGAGTGGAAACTAAAGTCCTTGGTGACGACCCTCGAGAGGCTGTGGGATTGCTCAGTCAGGACATAACTTGAAGTCACAAACCCAGGTCTGCCTCCCAGGCCCCTCAGGGGTGGGCTAGCCTGTGTCCAGAGGTTCCTGTGGCTGGACTGTTTCCTCAAGCTGCAGGTGCCTGTGCCTGGCATGGCCATGGAGCTGGTGAGTGCCAGCTGGAGACATGCTTCCAGTTCAGCGGCAAACAGGGGTTCCCTCGGGCCTGGTGGACCTGGCGACCTGGCGTGGGGCCTCCTGATTCATTTTCCTTCCTTGGTTCCTGTTTGCGAATTCCCTGGTCTGCCTTGGGGCCACCGGCACCTTCCTGGTAACTGTTATCTGATAAAGAGAGGACACTCCTACGCCAGTTCCCTAACAGGCAGGAGGACACTGCCTATCGGCCACAACCCTGTTCTGGTCCAGTCTGTCCTCTATCCCAGAGGAGGGCAACGACTACAGCTGGCCTGGAAGGGCTGACGGAAAGGTCCCTGAAGAGACAAGAGACAGCGCCTTAAAAACGTAACAAGCAACGACTGGGGGGAGAGGACGGCGCGAGGAAGGGCAGGAGGGGCCTGGGACATGCTTCTTATTGGAGCACCCAAGTGGACAGATCTGGGGACTTGGGCAGGACCCACAAGAGGAATGAGACCAACCCAGTACTGAGTTGTAGGAGCCCTAGGGAGATGGCTCAGTATGTTAGCCAGTCCTCTCTCTCTTTCTCTACCTTTATAAAGACTCGTATTTAATATACTAAGTGTCTTTTGAGGAGGAGGCAGACCCTGAAGCTGGGGTCCAGATCAAGGTCCCCACTGTGGCTTGGGTGCCATGCTGTCCTACCTGTTAGGCCATGAGCTCAGGGCGGGGGGCAGAGGAAGGGAGAGGGGCTCTCTGTTGTCGCCCAGATCCTGCACACACAGGTGCCTGATGTATGCATGCATGCCTGACTGAGTGACCCCAGACCTCTTTGTGTCTCAGGATCCTCATCTGTAAAACAACAGCACCCACCTCATAGAGCTATTGGGAGGGTCACACCAATTCCTTCACCTATTTATTCAGTAAACAGCAGGTGCCTCCTGTGTTCCAGGCGCTGCTCTGCAGGCCTGGGAATACAGCACTGAGCACGCACAGCCCTGTTCCCATGGAGCTGCCTCCAGTGGGGGTTAAGTGAGGGGATGCAGGTGACAGGTGTATGTCCTGAGCTCAGCTGGGAGCAGCTGCTTGGATGGGCAGGTCATGCACAAGTCCAAGTCCAGCAGCTCAGGGCCAGCCCCAGTGGGGCCTGTGGAAGAGGGTGCGTGGGGACCATGATGCTGTGGTTTAGATAAGTGTCACCAAAGGCCCATGTGTTAGAAGCTTGTCCTGCAGTATGGTGCAATTGGGAGCTATAAGAGGTAGGACCTGGGGGGCCTTCCGGTTGTTTGGTGCATGCCTTTGAAGGGGATTCTGGGACCCCACCCCCTTCTTTTCCTTGTGTGTCTCTTTTGTAACCAGTCATAAGGTGAGTGGCCTTCTTCCAGCATGAAGAGCTTTCTTGCCACATACCCAAAAGCAACAGGGCCACTCAACCATGTACAGAAACCTTCAAAAGTGTGAATGTGAGCCAGAAGAAACCTTTTGTCTTTACGAGTTGACTGTTTCAGGTATTTGTTATGGTAACAGAAAGCTGACTCACACACCTGATGTGACCATTCATGCCACCCAGTATTCCTATGTGGCTTTTCCTCTTCCTGGTCCTCAGGTTTTCACTTGTAAAATGGACATATGAAGGAACCCATCCCTCAGTTCCATAATGAAGTGATCCTAAGATGGAGAGGTCTGTTTTCTTACTAGCAATCCCAGAGGGCTGAGGTATGGGTTTAGAGAGAGAAGTGGGCAACATCCTTTTAGGGGCTGGCTAAAGTCCCCTCTTGACTTTAAGGCCAGTTCTTGGCCTCCACACCACACACAGACTCTCCACAATTGGCCCCCAACTTTGACCCATCTCTGGATTGCGAGAGCAATTCCTAGCAGCAAGGGACTCCATAACTGAGGACACCCTAGAGTGAGCTGGGCACCAAGACCGCCAGGCCTTCACCTCCAGGGGAGTGAGGAGAGCATGCAGAGCTTCCCCGGCCATGGAACTGTGCAGAGGGGCTTGGCAGGGTGCAGCGGGGCCTGGGAGCTCAGCAAGTGGGCCTCACCACCCTCACCTTGAGGAGGCACTTCTGTTTGGAGCAAGGGCCAGAGAGTTCTCCAGGGTGTCAAGCAGATGTCTACAATCTCAGTTGAGACTTAGACGTTGATTTTTGCCTGAGGGTGGGCAGCAAAACCGACCTCAGCTCTCAACCCATGTGCCCAGGGCTCTGCCTCCAATTTTCTAAGTGACCTTGGGCAAAACCTCAGTTTCCCTACCATGAAAGGAGATGACAGGTACCTTCAGTGCCGGTCAAGCACTTGCTCCTGGAGCCCTGGTTGTGGGTGGGGAGTGCTCAGGTTCACAGCCCACAGGCCCAACAGCAGAACCCAGCTGGGAGAGGCGGGGTCCGCAGGCTTTGAAGCTGGAGGGGGCCACATCCTGAAATGGCTAAAGGACGAAAACCCAGCCTCTCTCCTCCTAAGGACAAGGACAGGAGACAGTGATTTGGATGTCATCACTCACCTACCAAACTGCACCAACTTGCCCCAACACCCTAGAATCAGAATCCCTTGCGCTGGCCAAGGGGAATGGACACTCCCCAGTGGTAGCAAACAGTCTGGACTGTCCGCCAGTGGTGGATGGTGGCTCAGGTGTGGGACCCACATCCTTCCCTTTGATCCAAGTTTGTCTGCTTCTAAATCCAGAGGGAGGATGGAGATGTGACCAGAGCTCAGGGCGCGGAGCTCACATGCCTCAGAGCCCTGCATGGGACGCTGCCAGCGTCCAGCAGAGGGGACTTCTCGTCCCTGGCACAGCCAGCGCTCTGAAGCCATTTAAAATGATGGTGTCTGATGAAGCTCCCAGACTGCCATCAACGCCCCTTAGAGGGCCATGAACCGTGTTAGTGGGGTAGGTTAGGATTTTAAGTAAAATAACCTTAGAGAGAGGCTTCCCAGGCAGGGCCAGTGTCGGGTGAACTGCAGTGTGTGTTTGTGTATGTGTTTGAGGACACTGTGTCCTGTGTGAATGGTGTCCCAGAGGGGGAGGAGAGGCGGCTGGAAGAAAGGCCAAGGGACAGGCCAGGGGACACCGGCCAGAGGTTTCTGGTATGCCAGTGTCAGAGATGGAAGCCGAGACAGCCCAGACACCGGTGCAGGTGGCTCTGGACCTCTGACACCCCTGCTGAGCACTCCCTGTTCCTGGGGGTGGGGGGCCCTACACCTCAGGGACAGAGGACTGGCCCAAACCCCAGGCTTGTTACCACTCACTGTCCAGGAGGGGTCTTTGCACCCCATTTCCCACTCAGCTTGGGAAAGCTGTAGTGCCACCTCAGAGCCCCTCTGCAGATAGATCACCCCCAGTGCACACTGGTGACAGCCCATGGACAACTGTACCCTGGTCCCCAGGCTGGCTGTGCCAGGCAGTCACCTCACCCTGTCTGCTGCTCTGTGGGAGGCCAGGCTCTAGGGGTGCCTCTCAGGCCTAATGCCCTCCTGGCTGAGCTGGCAGAGCGTGGGCAGCCCCTAGCTGTGCTGGAGGTTTCTATACAAAGTCTCTGGAACCTTCTCCAGGCCCCGCCTCCACCTTTGGGTTCCTGGTTCGCACTCGCACACAGGGCCCCAGTCCTGGCCACCTCCTCCCAAGCAGGGTGGGGTCTCCTACATGGAGAGCCTGCTTCAAGCTGAAGGGTCTGTGCACGTGGAGCTGCTGCTTTCAGAAGAGAGGGTGGCAAGCAAGGTCCAGCAAAGGGTCCTACCTCGATCAGGGACACCTGGGGTGACCATGCTGTTGATGACATGGACATGTCTCCTTGACCCGCCTGAGCCCACTGTGGAGCCTGTTCCCCAGAACACCATATCCTTCCTCTCTCCCTGGACTCTCCGGGCCCCCTGGGAGCTTCTTCTGCAGATCAGCGATGCAGCCACCAATGTGAGGGTATCAAAGCCCTGGGACAACACTCCACCTGTGGGGACAGAGCTCACCCAGGTGATGAGTCTCCAGAGAAGCTGAGGCTGGATGTCCACCCAGGACTTGTTACCCGGGGCCCCCACTGAGGCCCCTGCTCTGCCTCCTTCCATAGCCTGGCTCAGGCTGCCCAGAGTCATCAGCCACCGAGTTCTCATGTGCTGGCTGGACCACTTGAGCAGGCTGTCTTGACCTTCTGGACCTGAGCGTCCTCATGTGCAAATGGGGGCAACAGGCCCATCTTAAAGGGGACCTTTGCATGTGATCACACAAAGGCATGCAAGGTCAAAGTGCAGATTGTTCGCAGCTAAGAGGCAAACTGCAGGAAGAAGCAGGAGTTGGTGAGGTTGGGGAAGGGTGGAGAGCTGCCTGTCAGGCATTACACATGGACACAGGCAGAGACACCCAGGCACAGCCGTACCCAAGCATGTGCACACTCACAGACACACCCACACGTGGCACCCACACATGACCATACACGGGCACAGGAGGAAGACGCTGCGGTCACACCTCGGTCAGGTCTGGGAGCAGAGGACAAGTGAGGGGCGCGGGCCAGAGAGCAGCAGGGCCTGTGGGGGCCTGTCCCTGAGCCTGGAGCAGGAAGGCCCTGCCTGGGGGAGGTGGGCTTGGAGGCCTTCCAGAGGCCGGGCCAGCAGGCTGATGGGGCAGGAGCGGGGGCAGGGGAGAGAGCCAGCCAGGTCTCCAGGGTGCTCAGGGGTGCAGGTGGGAGACGGAGTGCTGGAGGGAAACAGCACCTTGGCGCCCAGGGGCCGGGGCTGCAGGCGCCATGCGTAGCCAGGGAGGTGTTTGGGGAGGGGCTGGATGCTGAGCCTGGAGTTTAGGGTGGGACAATGGGGGGGTTCAGAAACTGCTTTTGGTGGGAACTGAGGCCTGGGCCTGGGCGGAGACCCCGCGGAGCACATCAGGACCAGGCTGGCCAAGCTCCCAGGGAGGGAGGGCCCAGGAGCCTGTCTGCCACCCCCTGGCTCCAATTCCCGGGTGACCACTTCCCTCTGATAACATTCTCCTCTGGACAGCCTTCCTCAGAATGGGTCACGTGAGTCAGTCCCACTGGCTAATCACACAGATTAGCTCCGTGCTGACCTTTCACCTCCATCCAAGCAAAACAGCGCCCTCACCCTGTGGCCCAGGAGCCTCAGAGCAGGTGGGGCGGGCAGGGTCCTGCCTCCTGGGCAGCCTGGCAGGATAAATGGCGGCTGGGAGCAGGAGCACAGAGATGACCTGGGGACCATGCGGCTGCTCCTGCTGACCGTGGGGCTGAGCCTGCTCTCTGTGGCGCGAGCCCAGAAGTTTCTGCTGACTCCTGCCAGCTCACAGGAGGTGATAGCCCTGGGGAGGGCTGGGGTGGGACCTGGAGTCCCAGGTCAGGCCTCTGCACTGGTGCATTATGGGAATCCAGGTGTACCTTTGCAGTGCCCTGTCCTGTGTCCTTGGTGACCTCCTCCGGCACAGGAGGGGTGCTGGGGATAGCAGGGTGCCTTCCTGCCTTCTGTGAGGTCCCCCAGAGTCTGAGGGGCCGTGGGGTGAGGCCTCTCCAAACTGTCCATGGGCTGGGTCTTGCCAGCCCCGCTGCCCAGAGACTTACTTCCTCCCTTGTCAGCTTCTGGGCTTCCGAGAAGCTTCTGGTTCTGCAGCTAGGATTCCATTCAGTGTTTTGTCTCCCAGGGAAAGGCTCAGGGTGACCCTCTGTACCACCGTGGATCGCCCAGGAACTTCTGATTTTCAAAAATTCTGGTTTGTTTTATGACAAGACTTAGAGCCCTGGAGATGCCACACACCAGCCCAGGCCCACCTCTGATGGACAAAGGTGCCGGGTGGCTGCCTCCTTATCCTGGTGTCCTTGACCAGGGAGCTAAACTGAGTCCAAAACAGACCCTGGGGTCAAGGGTGGTGTCCAGGAATCCCTGCTCCCTTTAGCAAGGAGTCAGACCCCTGGGCCCATACGGCTGGCCCCCAGAGCCTCCCCATGGTTCCCTCAAGTCTTCCTGTCCCCTCTCAGCGACTGGACAGCTGCTGGTCATTCTGTCCGCACCCAGCTCCCTTCCATGCCCTTTCCACACCCAACCCCTGGTCTGGATCTTCTCTGCACCCCTGCAAAGGTCCCAGGGTCAGCCACTCCAGGCCTTCCCCTTGGCCCTGAGGCCCTGGGTAAAGGAGACTGATGAGGTCAAGGGCACGTGGGACCCAGAGCCAGAATGAGGCAGAAGCCAGTGCTGAGGCTGCTGGGGTCAAATGCTCAGGACCGGTCACTGTCAGGTGCCTGTCTCCCAAGTTCAGACTGACCGCCCTTGGTCTCTGGAGGACTTGGGTGAGTCAGTCCTCGGAGGAGCGGGTGCCAGCAAGGGAAGGAAGCAGAGACCAGTGCTGTGGTCTGGTCACCCTGCAGCAGTGACCGTGGTTATCAGAGTAGCCATGCTTAGTTGGTGCAGGATCAACATGTCCCCTGTGACTCTCCTGAGCTCTGTCCACTCTGTCCCTTGCCTTGTTCTCCTATCTCATCTCTCTAATAATGAAGTTCCACTAGTCCTTTAGGTGACTTTCTGGGCCCCTCTGGGTGGCCTGTGCATGGCCCCGGGTCAGAGGCCCTCCCAGGAGGTGTGTTGCCCTGGAGGGCCCCTGCCCCAGCCTGCCTGGCTCGCCTACTGCTGATGGAAGGGGATGCCCTGACCAGGCCTCCTCTGGCTCCTGGAGTCTCAGGCCTCAGCCTGCAGAGACCCCAAACCATCCCTCCTGCCTCTGCCCCCAGGTCAGCCCCACCTGGACCCCTTTCCCTGGCTGCCCTGCCCCTACAGCCTGCTCAGAGCTGGCTCCCCTCCCTCAGCTTCTGGGAGACTGGCACATCGTGCGCTGGGCAGGAGACTTGCCTATTCCCGAGGAGAAGAAGACCCACCCGCTGCCTCCCTTCAAGTTTGTCAGAAACAAACTCAACAAGCTGGAGTTCAGGATGAACCTCATGTGAGTGCCCTGCAGGTGGCCCCTTCATCTCCCCCTCCCCTGCCCCTAGTCCCTGATCTCAACTGGTCCCTCGAGTGGCAAAATAGCCCCCTCTTGGGTTATCTCGGGAACCTGCCAGGCGCCCTTGGTAACCAGGGCAACGACACTCATGGGGACTCTGAGCTGAGCACAGGACCCCACCTGCCCATGTGCTGGTGTGTCTCTGAGGTGCTCCTGTGACCCCAGCTCTCCAGCACAGCGTGACTTGCTCCTGGAGAAACCAGGTGTGGGCACGGAGCACTCTTCTGCCTCCGCCTCCTTCGGGATCTGCTCTGGGTTGTGCAGTCAGTAAGCAGCCAAGGCTCCAGGACCAGGACTCTCCTCTGGGAGATGCGTTTGGAAGAGCATTTGGGGACCCAGGGCAGGACCTGGCCTCCTTGGTGGGCAGAGGCCTGGGTCTGCGGGGCACCAGGCTGCCTGACCAGAGCGTGGGTTACGGCTCTGCAGCCTTCCAGGCTTCTCCCAGCTGTGCCACCTGGAGCACACGGGGGTGAGGGAGGTGGGGTCCTTGGCCATCCATGTCCTGGGGGCTGGGGCCTGCTGGGACCTCCTGGCCTCCTCCCTGGACTAGGATAGGAACCTTCAGATGACCTCAGAGATCCAGCCTGGACTGTGGGGTCTTGCTGGGGTCTGTGTTCCTTCTGGGAGCCTGATCCTGACCAGCTGCTGCCACCCAAAGAGACCTACTTGCTTATAGAAGGGACCTTCTGAAGCCATTCCAGGCACAATTGGAGGTCCAGACTCCAGGGGCTTGGGGACCTAAAGATGGGTCTCCTGGGGACTCTGGCCACAGAGTTGAAGAGCCCAGGCTGACTGTGGAGTGTTATGTGTCAGGAGGAGATGGGGGCTGGCCTCACCACTGGGAGCTCTGTGGGAGGCAGCAGGGAAGGAGGGGGCAGGCGTCCAGGGGGAGAACCGTGCTTGGCTCTGTGTTCCAGGAAACCCATTGGATGCATTCAGTTCCAAATGATCCTGGATGTAGCCTCCCAGGGCACCTTCCAAACTGGTAAGTGGCCAGATGTGCATTCTTTCTTTCAGTAGGGTCTGCAGAAGGACACCTGAAGGCCAAGTGGCTTGCGTTGCCCACAGGTTGGAGGCACACCATCTCTGTCCACTTCTTGCCAGGGAAGGATCACGCCATTGCCTACTTCAAGGGCAAGATACAGCAAACCTACCAGATGACGATGCTCATGGGTGCGCTCCAGCCTCTCGACCGTGTGGAGTTGGGTGTGAACCTCCAGGGTGCCGGCAGACAGGGTGCAATGCCTTCCTGTCCAGCTATCTGCAGTTCCCACCTGGGCAGCCATTTCTGGGACTCCTGGATACTCGGTGGGAGAGGAGTTTCTAGATTTTGGCCTCTCATCCTCAGCTCTTACATCACAAATCCGCATGCCCACGTCCGCTCCTGGGCCACCTGGCCCTGACCCCTTCCTTTCCTGCTCAGTCAGCTGTTGGTGTGGTCATGCTCTGACCCCAGGGGACCTGTTTGAAGGCCTACTTGTCCCCAGGGACATTGAGCAACATCTGGAGATGTGTTACCCTGATGACGGCTGAGCTGGGGTCCTGGCATCCTGGGGTGGAGGCTGGAGCCCTGCTCCCCACCTTGCTGTGCGAGGATGCCCCCACAGCAAGGACCCCTCCCTAGAGGTCAGCTGTGCCCAGGTGGAGACCCTGTCCCTGGCCACTAACCCTTGGAGCCATCTCCACCCTGAGACTCACAGCTCCCTGCAGCCTTTCTAGTCTCCGCCAGAGTTCTCCAGAGCTTGGCCCCCAGTATCCTTCTGACAGAGCCGCAGTGGGCCCTTCCTGCTCTTGCCCATCAGCCCCTGCCTGTCCTGCCTGTCCTGTGTGTGCTGCACCCACTGTCTGGTCTTCTCTGCCCACAGCTCCCTGGGAGGCTCTGGACCCATAAGGCCCCAGTGATGGCTATGTGGGAGCTCTGGCAGCAGCAGGGAGACATGGACAGGGAGGCCTGCCCACTGGGCCCACTCTGATCATAAGCATGGACCTCAGGGGCCCTTGGTGTTACCCTGCTGATGGCCGAGGCCCTTGGTGCTGCCCAGACCCTCCAGGTGCCCCCAGGTCACTTCTAGATTGAATTTCACATGTCACCCCATCTCCTGGTCCAGTGCAGGACATACCTCCGCACAAATAGGGTGCATGTGGGGTGTGGTTTTGGGCAGGACCTGAGCTGAGAATTGGAGAGGCTAAGAGCTCACAAATCGCTCTCTACTGAGAGTCCCAGAGTCCTAGGAACAGCTTCCTGGGGTGGAAGCTGGGGGGAGATGGGCAGGAAGGCAGTGTGCCCTGTCGGTGCTCAGTGCCCCTGTGTGAGGAGGGTGCCTGGACAGAACTCGGGGTGATGTGCACATTGCGAGTCTAGAGGTGCCCAGGGTGCAGCCTCTGAGACCAGGTCTGCAAGGAGAGGTTTGGGCCAGGGAGACTGGGCAGTGGGGGTGATGGGGGTCTGGAGGAGCTGAGGGCACACAGGGACAATCCTTAAGGATGGGCATCTTTGTGGGGCAGGGGTCTGATTCATGGAGACGGGTCATTGACAGGTAGGCCCCACCCCTTCCCTCCTTCTGCTCCCCCTGTGGTCACACTCAGGGCTGTTTCTCCTGGAGTGATTGGGGTTTGGAGGGACGGTGTCCCTGAGCCTAGGATGTGCCCATGCAGGGAACTCTTCATTGGTCCTCTGCTTGCCAGGGTTGGGGCAGTGGCACCTCTTTCCTGTGGAAACTTTGGAGACAGGGATCCCCTGGGGCCTCTGAGCTTTTCCAGGAGCTCAGAGGCATAAGTGTCTAGTCCCAAAGAAGATGCAGAAGTGGTTGTTGCCTGGAGACGTCCCCTGGCTGGCTCTTTCCCCAGAGGTTTGTGCTGGGAGATTCCATCCCAGTCCCTGGAGCCCCTGGCACAGTTGGCTTGAGTCCTCTCAGTGGCTGGAAGCCCCTGGGGGAGATGACAGTATCTAGACTGGAGAGATAAGCCCCACCAGGATCCCAAGCCCCCTCTCCTCATGCCCCAGTGGACGGGGCACCAGCTTCCATACCCACCTCCCTCCATCTGCCCTGCAGGCCGCACCCTGGAGGAAGACCCAGAGGCTCTGAGCATCTTTGAGAAGTTTGTGAAAGACAAAGGGCTGACCAAGATCACCGCCCCTCCCCACCTTGGTAACCAGGGCCCTCCTTTCTCCTCCCTTCACCTGTGATCTCCGTCACCAGCGGCTGGGCCTTTGGGTCTCCTTCCTCCTATTAGATGGTGACCACCTGTTCCCATCCCTTGTGTTTTTCTGGGTCTGCAGAAGCCTGTAAGTTGCCCAGAGAGTCCTAGAGCAGGAGGGGGCTGCAGAGCACCCGGGAGGATGGAGCTGAGAACCCTGGCCACCCTTTCCCTCCCACAAGCAACTCCCTGTGGCAAGAAAGAGCAGGGCCCAGCCCACGCCGCCTCACATCTCATCCTAATAAAGCTGGACAATGGCCCCTGGCCACATGGGAAACCCCAGAGCTTGGTCAGCGTGATGAAATGAGGCTGGTGCGCCTGCTGGTGGCAGTTATCCACCTAAGGACTCTGTTCTCCCACAGAGACAGGGAGACAGTCCTCTGCCCCCTGACGGTCACATTTCAAAGGAAAGGTTTTCAGGCCCCTGGGAGAGACCCTTTGGGTCTGAGTTAGTGACCAGTCACAGCTGCAAGCCCTTTTCAGTAAATGCTCTAAGAAAGGAGGCCAGGGGTTAGCCAGAGAAAAGAGCGAATTCTCCTGGCAGCAGGAGGCTCTCAGGCAGGCACCTGAGCAGGGCTGGGGTCCCCAGGGCTGAGGCCTCATGCTGCTAGGATCCTTGCCACAGTGAGGTCGTACCGTGCAGAGTTTGTAGGGAGTTGTCGAGAGTTCTGGGGTTGTCATCGCACACATGTTGATTCAGCCTGATTCGACACTGTGGGTGTCATACCCTAGAACCCATTCCTACCCCCGGCCTCAGCAGCAGGAGGCCACAAATGAACAGTCTGATCTCAGGCAAGGCAGGAGATTTCAGGGGCATCCATGGGGGATCAAGACATTCTGCGTAAGGTTTTTGTTTTTGTTTTTCCCTGTGACCAAAATGCCTAATGAGAACAATTTAGAGGAGGAGAAGTTTATTTGGGGCTCATAGTTTCAGAAGTCTCAGTCCATAGATGGCTGACTCCATTGGGTCCAAGGTGAGGCAGCACATCATGGGGGAGGGCCCTGTGGAGGAAGGCTGCTCAGCTCATGCAGCCAGGGAGCAAGAGAGAGCAAGTCAGGGACAGAAGCAAAATATGACTTCCGAGGTCCCCCTGTGACCTACCTCCTCCAGTCATGCCTCAACTACCTAGTTACCACCCTGTTACGCCATTCAAACTAGAAAGGACTGATTAGGTCACAATTCTTACAAGCCAATGATTTTATCTCTGAACACTCCTGTATAAACACAGGAACTCTTGATCCAAACCATAACACCCTCACTGTCATCTGGCCTTGCACAAATGTCCCAATTCTGTGTGTCAACCTCTCCCCCTATTGACTTGACTTACACACAAGGGACTTCACCAGGTTTGAATGCAACTCCCCAAGTAATTCTGAAGCCCTGCTATTAAACTTGGGGTCTGATTTTCAGCCACTGCTGTCCTGTGGCTACAAAAGTCACATATAGTTTTAAGAACATGGTACAGCCTTTCTGTCCCCCGCCCCACCATGTTTTTAAATTGGTGCTTTATAGTTTTCTCTCTTCTTTCTAAAGACTTTCTTTAGAAGTTTCTTTTCTCTGCTTGAGCTCAAAACTTGACATTTCCTTCCAGAAATCCCCAGTACAGTCATATTTTAATAAGCTTTTTCACTGATGTGACCAAAAGACCTGACAATAACAATTTTAGAGGAGGAAAAATTTATTTGGGGCTCATGGTTTCAGAAGTCTAGGTCCATAGACAACCGTTTCCATTCCTTGGGGCCGGAGGTGAGGCTGGACATCACATCAGGAAGCAGAGAGACTTCTCCTCTTACCAAGGACAAATATAGAGCCCAAAGGCACACCCTAGGAGCCCACCTCTCCCAGGCACACCCCACCTGCCTCCAGTTACCACTTAGTTAGTCCCTATCAGGGATTAATGTGCTGATTATGTCAGGGTTCTCACAGACCAATCATTTCACCTCTAAACATTCTTGCAGTCGTCCACATGAGCTTTGGGAAACACCTCACATCTAAACCACAAGTCAGAAGCAGTCTCTCCATCCCTGGTCCTTCTGGTTATTGTCTTTGTTTGCAGCCACATGTTGGTTCCTTTCCCAAAGCCTGGCTTCCCATAAGGACTGTCCCTGAGCAAGCTCAGCTAACACCTGGAGGCTCTGTGGGGTCACTTTGTGCCCTGCGCCTCCCACATCCCATTTTCCATCTGCGAGATGCCCCCATGCTCTGCAAGTACAGGCAACCTCACTCTTGCACCGTGGTTGGCAAGAGTGGGGACCGCCTTTCACTGAGGAGCTAGAGGACAATCTGACTGCCCGGTCGCCTGAGCTGGCGGAGAGGGCAGTGGGGAGACCGCTCTCTGTCGACAGCGGGGCGGGGCGACGCCGGCCCTGCCCTTCCTCCTGTGCACTGGGAGCCTGGGCGTGTTCCTCCTGCCCAATAAAGACACAACCCAAACCAAACGTTTAGCTTTTGATGAGACAGGTCCATACGTGTAACTCCCATCCCTCTTCATGGGCTGAAATCAAGGGCTGCGGGGAGCTTGCAGAGGGGGGAACGTTTCCTGCAGTTTCCCACTTCCACGGGAGGACATGTCTGGGCTCAGGGCTCCTCCTCTCTCTTCCCAGCCAGCAGTGCAGGTCTTTCCTCTTTTCTGCCCTCTTCTTGGGTCCCCACATAATCCCTCGCGGTCCCTCCTCTCTCCCCTCCCTCTTCCCTTCCCCCCACTCTCACAGGGATCACTGTGGCTGCTTTGGACTCACCCAGGTACCAGGAGAATGGCTCATCTCAGGACTCTCAACTGAAGCACATCTGAAAACTCCTTTTGGTCACACATTCAAGTCTCTTGGGATGAGCACAGGACAGCTCCAGGGCCATTATGCACACTACCTACCACATGGGGAGATTGACAAGCAGTGGGGCTGTGAGTGAATGAGCAGGGAACCCCAGGGAGAGGGGGGTCCTGGGAAGTCTGGGAGGCCTCTCCGAGGAGGCGGTGAAAACACTGATGTCATTTGCATGCCATAAACGTCACCCTTTAAATGAAATCATCCGCTGGTTTTCAGTGTATTCTCCAGGCTGGGAACCATCAGCATTATCTGAGTCGGAGTAGCTCATAATCTAGCAGGCTCCTCACTCCGGTCACCACTTGTACCCCTTCAGCCCCCTAGCACTAGCAGGCTCTTAGTTGCCTCTCATCTCCAGGGATTTCTGGGTTCAGGATGTTTCACGCACCTGCAATGGCACGGATGCTCCTTGAGACTGGCTTCTCTCCCCTGGGACCATATTGGAAGTACATCTGTGCTATAGAGGGAGCCACAACTGCTACACCAGGTTCATCTGTGCTGTAAAAGGTGCTGCACCTGCCAAACCAGGTTCATCTATGATGTAGAGAGTGCCACAAAGCTACACCAGGTTCATCTGTGCTGTAGAGAGCCATAACTGCTACACCAGGTTCACCAGTGCTGTACAGGGAGCCACACCTGCTACACCAGGTTCATCTGTGCTGTAGAGGTAGCCACAACTGCGACACCAGGTTCATCTGTGCTGTAGAGGGTAACACACCTGCCACACCAGGTTCATCTGTGCTGTAGAGGGAGCCACACCTGCTAAACCAGGTTCATCTGTGCTGTACAGGGAGCCACAACTGCTACACCAGGTTCATCTGTGCTGTAGAGGTAGCCACACCTACTAAGCAAGGTTCATCTATACTGTCGAGGGAGCCACACCTGATAAACTAGGTTCATGTGTGCTGAAAGAGTTCCACACCTGCTACACCAGGTTCATCTGTGCTCTAGAGGGAGCCACACCTACTACACCAGGTTCTTCTTTGATGTTGAGGGAGCCACACCTGCTATGCCAGGGTCATCTATGATGTAGAGGGAGCCACACCTGCTACACCAGATTCACCTGTACTGTAGAGGGAGCCATACCTGCTACACTAGGTTTATTGGAGCTGTAGAGGGTGCCACACATGCTACACCAGGTTCATCTGTGCTGTAGACACCAGGATGATCTGTGCTGTAGAGGGAGCCACACCTGCCACACCAGGTTCATCTGTGCTGTAGAGGGCGCCACACCTGCTACACCATGTTCATGTGTGCTGTAGAGGGAGTGACACCTGCTACACCAGGTTCATCTGTGCTGTAGAGGGAGCCAAACCTCCTACACCAGGTTCATCTGTCTGTAGACGGAGCCACACCTGCTACACGAGGGTCATCTGTGCTGTAGAGGAAGGCACACCTGCTACACCTGGTTTATCTGTGCTGTAGAGGGAGCCACACCTGGTATACCACGATCATCTGTGCTGTAGAGGGAGGCATACCTGATGCACCAGGTTCATCTGTGCTGTACAGGGAGCCACACCTGCCACACCAGGTTCATCTGTGTTGTAGAGGGAGCCACACCTGGTACACCAGGTTCATCTGTGCTGTAGATGGAGCCACACCTGCCACACCAGGTTCATCTGTGCTCTAGAGGGAGCCACACCTGCCACACCAGGTTCATCTGTGCTGTAGAGGATAACACACCTGCCACACCAGGTTCATCTGTGCTGTAGAGGGAGCCACACCTGCTACACCAGGTTCATCTGTGCTGTAGAGGGAGCCATACCTGCTACACCAGGTTTATTGGAGCTGTAGAGGGTGCCACACATGCTACACCACATTCATCTGTGCTGTAGACACCAGGATCATCTTTGCTGTAGAGGGAGGCACACCTGCCACACCAGGTTCATCTGTGCTGTAGAGGGAGTGACACCTGCTACACCAGGTTCATCAGTGCTGTAGAGGGAGCCAAACCTCCTACACCAGGTTCATCTGTCTGTAGAGGGAGCCACACCTGCTACACGAGGGTCATCTGTGCTGTAGAGGAAGGCACACCTGCTACACCTGGTTTATCTGTGCTGTAGAGGGAGCCACACCTGCTATACCACGGTCATCTGTGCTGTAGAGGGAGGCATACCTGATGCACCAGGTTCATCTGTGCTGTACAGGGAGCCACACCTGCCACACAAGGTTCATCTGTGCTGTAGAGGGAGCCACACCTGGTACACCAGGTTCATCTGTGCTGTAGATGGAGCCACACCTGCCACACCAGGTTCATCTGTGCTCTAGAGGGAGCCACACCTGCAGCACCAGGTTCATCTGTGCTCTAGAGGGAGCCACACCTGCGACACCAAGTTCATCTGTGCAGTAGAGGGTAACACACCTGCCACACCAGGTTCATCTGTGCTGTAGAGGGAGCCACACCTGCCAAACCAGGTTCATCTGTGCTGTACAGGGAGCTACACCTGCTACACCAGGTT